ATGAAACACGACTTTTATTCACAAGACAATACAATGATGCTAAGAAATCGGCACGTCAAGACAAGAGTGTGGGTTGCGAATATATTTGCATACGTACATACTGTGCAAAATTAAATCCATCCGAATCCCATATAGTCCTCTGACTGAATATGCTAATGAATTATACGAAAATACAGAGGATTATAAATTGAGTTTTGTGCGAATATTTGCACACTGTGCGAAATCAAATCCACCCGGATCCCATATTGTTCCTTGATTATGGCTAATTAATTATTCGCTAATAAAGAAAAAGTTATGGCTGGTGGATGCGGATGGTAAATTGAGTTTTGTGCGAATATTTGCACACTGTGCGAAACCAAGTCCCATATTGTCCTCTGACTGAATATGGTTAATTAATTATTCGCTAATAAAAAATGTATTTATGGACAAGTTACAACTGGTAAATTGAATTTTGTCCCGTCATCGTCCCAACAAAAATGGATAATATTAATTGTTATGTCATCATCATTTTTCTATTATGCCATGAAATCATCACTGCTTTTACATTTACTTGCGTGTATATTTATCTATGTATAAAGCTCAGATTTGCAAAAAAAAGGTGAAGGTGAACAAAAGAATAGGTTTAAATGAGAATATTTAACTGAGAGTGATCTCATGAATTTTAATAATTTTTGTTGAATTTTAACAATTTTCGTTGCATTTTAATAATTCTTCATTGAATTTTAATAATTTCCGTTGAATTTTAACAATTTCTCGTTTTATACACAGATCAAAAATTAACTTCGAATGTATATAATTTCACGAATTTTAGATGAACTGATGCTTACCTAATTCAACCAAATTGTGTGCTGTACGATACTTTAGAGAGAATTGACAAGTTGTCGAAGCTATGCAAGCTGACGAGATGAATAAATTATTACATACACTCTTCGAGGGTGTAAACTCTGTAATGTGTAAATTATGAGTATTATGACATAGTATGGGTTTGATGGACGCTACAAATTTGTCATAGTTGTTATTTTATTAGCTATACTTGTAATTATTTACTGGGTTGTGTTTATTATAATCTGTACATGACATAATTAATTGCAACTTTGCTAAATTATTTGCAACGACGTCAAACTTTAGCGAAACAAAGGAAGCAGCAAAAAATATGGCAAAAACTAAATAGCAAAGAAAACATACATCCGAAGAAGCCGGCCGGTCGGTCGTGCTATCAATAATTAATTAATCACATTTGTTCTTATACGTTCTGTGTGACTGGGCAAATTCAATTTAGCAATTTCTTCATTCGTGACGAGTTGCAGAGATTGATCTGTTTGAGTGGAGATGAATTTGAATTTGAGCTTTGGCTGCTTCTATTTTCAATTTCGACTTGAAATTTTGAGGAATTGTTGGTTTAAAATTGCAATTCGTTAATATCAGATATATTTACGATGTAAATTTTACATTCGAAAATACAGTCACAAAAAAAACTTCCAAAACTGTATACTATTTTTTAGTTCGTTATATTTTTCAAACTCTGTAAAATTGTTCATTATTTAAAGAAATTGATGTGCATATGTAGTGTAAGTAAATATTTTTGATCTCTCTATACGAAAAAGATGATAGATTTCGAGCATTTTTTCACCAAAATATTGCTAGTGCATAGTTCAAAATGACAAAAAGTTTGTGGTCAAAATTTCCCCAGAAAATTTGGCAACAAAATTTATCGAAAGCATTTAAATAAATATTTAAAATTCAAATTTTAAATTAGTAAACTACGTATGTACAATAATCCATCCATATTGTAAAAGAATGGTTGAAATAATTAGGAAATTTTGAAACCTCATGAATTATTATTTTTTAACTCAAGATCTAAAAAGTTATGACGCTAATAAAATTCGAAAATAAATAAAAACCCGTCGTACTCATGAAATATATTTATAAAATGAAACTACAAAAAAAACAAAGAATTGATATTTCATGAAACCGGACATAACCCAACCAACCAACCAAAATAATCTATACATACATTAACCATCCTGCATATAATTACTCATAATTAGTTACTCTATATTATCCCCCAATTACTCATGATGATATCCCGTATCGCAATTACGTACGTACGTAGCTTGTGGCTTTGTTTGTCCTTCTACTTCATCATCAACTAATAGATAGAAATGTCCCAACACGAAATGAAACTCAAAACGAGGCAATATTTGGATATTGTATGACACAATTAAGCCTCGCAAATATTTGCTCTTCTTCCCTATCATGTCTTCTTTCCTCTTTGTACGGACACGATTTCCTTTTGTGGGAGATAATAATTCGTCATAATTTCGATTCATTATTTATTCACTATTCCTTTATTTATATCGATAGTTAAGTGAAATATGAGTGACGTAGGAAGATCTAAATATTGACATTCACTAAAAAGAATGGAGGTCTCGCAGCGTATGCGAACCGATTTTGAGCAAAAAAGTATTAATCGATCGCAAATTTAATTGGGATGAAATTTGTGAAAGACACGATCTCCCAATGGGCACGTTTGGCAGAAATGTTTGCATCCGAAGAGGAGAAAATGTGCCTTAAAGTTGACAAATTTTACATTTTGCAAATTTACTGGACGTCTTCTCCTCGTGGGATGCAAATATCTCTGCCAAACGTGCCCATTGGGGATCGTGCTTTCGCAAACTTCGCCCTAATTAAATTTGTGATCAATTGACACTAATTCGCTCAAAATCGGAGAGCATACGCTGGGAGACCTCCATTGTTAGTTTTACAAGTACGGATAAAAAAAAATATTTAGAAACACGACCCAAAAACCCTGACCGTCCAATCTATACTTAAAATAGTACGATCTTTTCTCAATTTATTTTTTGTTTTGGCGTGTAACTTGCACTATTAAATTTTAAAAATATTTTTTAAAGCATAAATAATAATGCTGAATTAATCAAATCCATTAAACAAATTGAGACTCTGAAATATTTAATTCAGATTTATTTGTTTGGTCCATCAATTCATTAGTGTTTTGTTTTGCAGCTTGTCCTAATTTTCGCCAAATTGAAGATTTATCATCATCTCCGATTCAAGACAAGCGTTAAATCTCTATCTCCCAACCGAATCAATAACACGACTTTGTTACATATAAATTCCGACTTGGGCTTAATCCCGATTCAATATTTATTACTGTGCCTCCCATTCATCAATCAGTCAATGAATCGAGTCGATATTCCAATAAATCTCACATTTCTCACGTTATTTTTCTCAACAATAAATCTCAATTTGGTTGATACGATGAGAAAATAAATTGAGGCAATTCATTCACGCACATCTTTGTAATTTTGTACATTTCGTAAACTTACAAACTTTCACAGATATAATTCGAAGGAAAATAAGCTAAAAATTTTTTGTAAACTTGCTCAGATCAAGAGCGTCTCTTTATTTTGCAAAGTTTGTAAAATTATTGCACGAAAGTTACGGATTTTACAAAGTTACGAAGGACTGCGTAAGTTTTCAGAAAATTTACAAACATCTCCACAAGTGATAAGTACTTATATTTCCGCAAATTAAGGAAGAAAGTCAGGTTATAAATCTATCCTACCCAAATTCAAATGGTCGTGGTTACATATCTCCTAAAACTTTATGAAGGTTAAAAAAATTGGTGAAATTCAGACGCTAAAAATAGAAATTTATGAAATTTACCATTATACGTTATGTTAAGTAGATTCTTGCGGAGCGTGTGGATTATTGAGTTAGTACAAACCTCAAAGTTACAAAGGACTGCGTGAATTGCCTCATTTCAGAAACCTATGCAAATTTTGACCCGAATTTAACCTTCTTTAAGAAAATCTAAGAAATTTTTTAGTAGGATAATCGTCTCCTCCTCGTGCCAGACACCTGTCCAATTGTGCAACCTCATTAAATATTTGAACTTGAATCGATTTCATTCAAGTAAGATTCCAGTGCAGTGGCCGCAGAAGCGTTGGTGGGGACAGAGGAACAATGTCCCCACGGTTGTTCGATGTCGGCATCATCTGGCCATGTAAATAAACCCCTCCCCCTCCCTATCCTACAATGTTAATGTCCCCACATGTCCCCACGGCCATTGCGCCCAAGGTCATTTATACGTAAAAAAAGAATCAAACAGAAATTCAATCCGCCAGACTGAAATCAATCAATATATGCCTAGTCGATCTCATCAATTGTAAATCGTTAGGACCCAATTGTCTTCGAGGGTGTATTAAACAATTAGATTTTTTGTAATTCAAGATTTTGATGTGTTTTTTTGAAAATGGAAAACTATTGACTGTTGAAAATAATGATAGTTTTTTCTCCTGGAATTTTTCATACTGAATTTAATCGGTCGAATCCAGACTTATCCAGCTGTCAGATAAGTAAAACACGAGAAAAACAAATAACAACGAGACAATTTCTTATCTTAAGGAAATACTGCGTGTTTTATTTTTGGTGTAACTTCGAACAACAACAAAAGTGGGTCAAATTCAGTCAGTCATTGCTGACTTGTTAAAAAAACATGACAAATTTTCGATAATTTTGTTAACTGTAATCAATTCCAAATCCAGCAGGTGACAAATAACAATGCAATTCCGTTACATGGAATGTGATAAATATGTATGTAAACTACATAAATTATGTAAATATGTAGTTGCGATTAAAATGATGTTTGTGCAATTTTGCTAAATAGTAAATTATTTAAATGGATTAATTTTAATGTTAATTATTTTATGTGCTAAAACTGATATTGTCATTATTTAATGGATTAATTTCTATACTAGTCTATTAACGTGGTAAAACTGATATTTTTAGAAAATTTGTCCAGAAATAATTCAACGCCATAAATTGTAAATATACGAAATGATGATATCATTTATGCGAGCAGATTGCAGATCTAGTAGTCACCAACTAAAAAATAATCATGATTTTTCTGCACAAAAATGAATTCGCCACCTTAAAATAGATGCAATAATTAATAATTAATCGATGGTTACAATTACCCGCATAATAGCCCAGGAACTCGAACCCCTCTTCCGTCCCCGCTTGGTCAAGTATCCGATCGATCTCCGGGCCGGGTTGCGTCCCATTTTTTATCCGATTTTTATGCGATTGATTACGATCTATTTCTAATTAATATCCACAATTAGCTTATCGGTGGGTGAGTCTAATTGATGGGAAGAGCACTTTTTTTAACCCATCGATTAAGCAGGTGATGGGCTAAGCAAGCCGCACATAATTTTAAGTAAGACACTTAAAAGTTTCCGAATTCTAAACTAATTTCCGTGTCGTGGAAGAAGAACGAATGCGAATTTGAGTCTTACTTCATTGTGACCGATTTTTTGCGTTTACAGCGACGTTTTTTGCGTGGTCAATTTGTTAAAACAATTATTTTTAGCGTATTTTAGCAGTTAATTGGTAACTTTAATTAAAAATACAGTCTTGCTTTTCTAGTAACTACTAGTAAGTAAGTTTTAAGAACTGTGCACTGTTTCTGCGTTCTGATAAGTCGTCATCGTGGTGTGGTCACTTTTAAATATTTTGTAAATGTAATCTGTAATTGCGCTTTGGTTTGGTTTATTAACTGGCGAATTTGACCATAGTTTTCTCCAGTAAAATTTGAGCTTATGGTCGATTGCTGCTCAATCTTGTTCCAATTTGCAATTATTCCTGTTTAGGAAACAAAATGAATCAGTCGTCAAGATTAGTCAAAATTAACGAAATACTGTTTTTATTTTAAAAATTTATTAACGAAGCCTAGTATAGTAACAGACCTGTCTCTTATCTTGTCGCTTATCCAATCCGCTCCTCCTTTCTTAACTGTAATCAAAAACGCTTATATAAATATCGCCAAATTCAGTCAAAATTAACGAAATTCTATTATTATTTTTAGAATTTCTTAACTAAGCTTTGCTCAATTAACAGACCTGTATCTCTTGTCTTCTCGCTTATCCAATACAATCCAATCCACCTCTTTCTCAACCGTTTCGTTTACCGTTGTTCTTATCAAAAACGGTTATACAAATTGAGTTCATTTTGCAAAAATCCGATTGCTATGTATTTGCAATTCTGGTTCGTGGCCTGGCAGATGGGCAATTTTTTTTATTGTTCCATTTATATCTCGTTGTCGAATGTGTCCAGCCCAGAGAGAGATAATAAATTAATTATGACGAAGACAAGTCAGCCCGTGACGATTTATTGTTATTATTTTTTATTGCGCAAATAATTTGCAATTATTTGGGATCGCACGCACGTTAATTTCAGAGTTCAGGCAGTATGTGGCTTTTATAAAGGATGATGATATTATTGTTACTCAGTTAGTAAAGTCAGACTTTATCCCACAGCAGTTAAAGTTAATTAAGGTGAAGAAGAGTGAATTGATGACGATTAAAAGAATACAAGTGGAGAATTGAGCAATAAAAATTCAAGCCTACCGCCACACTTTTCATTCGGGGGAGGGTAACATTTCCTAAAAATTTATAAATTTCTGTAAAAAATGGGGAAAGTTTTTTATTTTGGATGGAAAGAGTTGTTTAAATAGAAAATTTCATGATTTTGCAAAAAATTGTTAAAAATTTGCAACATTCGCAATTCATGAATCGTTTGGGGTAAAGGTAGATGTGAGACGGGCCGGGAGGTTTGAATATCTTGTATTCATGAAAATACAGACCCACCCAGAAATAAGAAACTGCTGTGAAACAATTAAATTTGCAATATTTTGTAAAATAATTAAATTTTAAAAGTTTTTCTGTAATTGGAGAAAGAAGTTGGGAAGCAGGGGTGGAATTAGAGTCAAAGGGGAACGATTTGTGGTCAAATATTTGCAAGAAAGTTGGTAAGAAAGTGATTATTTTGGAAAACTTTAAATTTAATTATTTTTTCGTCGTATTCGTTTTGAATTAGTTATGCCAATTAATTATGTTGTAAAATCTGCACTTAAATTCCTACACATTAATCGTTACGTTAGGAAACTAGTGTCGTAAAAGCAGTGAAAGTGAAGCTAAATGCAATTCTAATTAACTTTAATCATTGTCAACTTCACACTTTACAGGATTCTCTTTAAATTAAGTACGCCAATGAATTATGTTGTTAATTCTGCACCTAAATAGCTACACAGTAATCGTTATATTAGGAAAATAATGTCATAAATGAAATGAAAGTGAAAGTGAATTTAAATGCAAGTCTAATTAATTAAACTTTAACCATTGTCAACTTTACAGGTCCCCATCACCACCCACCCATTCACGCACTTTTGGCATCATGGCAGTCTGCGGTCCTAAATTATCCCTCTGCTGTCTCCTTCTCAGCGTTTGGGGGGTTATCCAGCTCGTAAGAAAGCTGAAATTCTAATCTATTTTTGTAAAATCTTAATTCTCCATCAAATTTAACCTCTTCTTTCTCTTTGCAGGGTTTGATGGGCATATTTTTCTACGTTAAGAGCGTCGCCCTCGTCGAAGATCTCGAGCTGGGCGAATACGGTCCACATGAATATCAACAATTCTACGCCGACGTGGATCAAGCTTATTCCCAGAGCGCGTACAACTGCTGGATCGCGGCTTGTCTTTACATTGGCACCTTCCTCTTCTCCGCGCAGCAATTTTATTCCAATAATAAGAGCAGCTCGTCCCCCACGGCGTTCTAATTAGAAGGAGAATGATCTGATCTAAAAATATAAAAATTTCCTGATTTCTTTCCGAGAATTTCGGAAAATGAAATTATGTATCAAGTCAATTTTTTTTGCGTTCCGATATATTTCTTGCATTCCAATATAAGATTATTTCCATACGTATGTATAATCGTCTCGGGTAAAATCAATTGTACTTGTAATTTCGAAAAGTAGTTAGTGGGCAGGGCACGTAGAATAGATAATGCAAGATGTCGATAAATGTATGTACAGTAGTCAATTCAGTCATTAAATTTAAATAAATAAATGTTGAATCAAGATTGTTGATGTATACTAATTAGCAAGAATCGTCACTTTATGTGCAATATTTTATTTCGCAAATTTTTTAAGATCACAATTTCGCTAATATGATAATTGTTCAGAAATTAAAAATTTTGACATACGTCACCTGTATCTTTTCTATCCATTATTATATGGGAATTATTATAATTTCCCGTAAGTGGTTTTACAACTTTACAAAAAAAATGACTTACAAAAATTGTCTTTCTCTCAAGATCGAAGAAAGTGAGAATTTAGTTATTTACACGAGTTAAAGTTCTGCAATTAATTAAATATTATGCAAAGGGACTAACATTTTAATAATTTATTTTTTTAAATAGGGCCATCACGATAATTAAGTAGAAAGTAATACGAAAATTTAGATTTTAAGTGTGTGAATTTTCGCCAAACCTCGGCTGGATTCTGAGAAATCTGTCATCTTCCGGAAATCAAAAATTTATTTGTCAAAAAACATGATTTGGAATAATTGTCGGAAAATTAGTACAGCAGGTATCTCTGATTTTGATAATTTAATAATTTATACGAATTAACGTTTTTTCAATTAATTAAAAGCACAAATGGAGTTACATTTTTAAAATAAATTTTAAAAAATTACGGTCACCACGATAAATAATTGGAAAAGCAAAGCTTTACTTTACTTTGAGGTGAGGAAAATACATTTTCAAATACAGTATTTTGAGCTCGGTTCTTCCCTTAGTTTTTATTTCCTGGGCTGTTACACCCACAAAAACATGAAAAATCTGCATGGAGAAGACAACTGTCTGTCGAAAATAGAGGTTTTCTGAAGAAATTAACTTTTTCTTGCAGACAAAATACAATGTTTTCACGATTATCACGATTTTCACGAAGTAAAAACAAATATTATTTATTTTTTTCATAATCAAAATAAATTTTTTTTAAATACATTTGTAAAATTTATAACTCTTTGTACACTTTAACGCCGAGACTAACTTATTATTTAATTCTTAATGCGACACAAGAGTTTAGATTCAACTTCATGGGGTTCGTTTAATTTATTGCGTTGATTACATATTTACAAATAAAATAATTTTATGATTCTAAAATGTGAACATTTTTAAAAGTTCGAAATTTCTTTTAAACTTGAACTAGTTATTTCAAAAAGCAAAATTATTTTTATTAATTAATTTTTAGTTAATTTTAAATTAAAAAATTTTTCAACCCATGCATTCGGGGTTATTTTTATTTTTTTGCAATAATTGCAAAAAAACAATTATTGTTTTGAGTTATTTAAGCAAAGTAAAAGCAAAGCTTAGATTTTAGTGTGTGAATTTTTGCAAAATCTTTGGATGATGAGAAATCTGTCTATTTCCGGAAATCTAAAATTTATCGGTAAAAAATACTGCACAAATTATCATGAGGAATGAAAAATTTCATGAAATTTCAGATTTTTTGTGCTTACTTAAGAATCTTCATCCTGGGTGTCCATGAAATTCAAGTTATTTGATTGTCATGTACGCTTGTTCTAGGAGCACAGCGTTGGATTTGGTTTACTTACGGATACTAAAATGCAAAATATAGATATTTGTTAATTCCGATGTTAAACTCGATTTAAAATTAGGAAAAACAATCTGTATTTAGAGTAATGTGATTGATATAAAAAACGAAATTCAATTTTTTCAGTTTTTTTTTTGAAAATATTGTGCCTGATGAACATATGCATTTGTGGTATTACTACTAAAATTCTGAAAATTGTATGTTGTTAGAGCTAACAACTAAGATTTTTAGAAAATCTTACCTACAGAAAATTACTTATTTTCTGCAAAATAGTCATCAGAGAAAGTTGTGATTTGCAAAATTTTCCAAAAGGTCATCAGAGAAAGTTGTGGTTTACACAATTTTGCAAAATAGTCATCAGAGAAAGTTGTGATTTGCACAATTTTGCAAAATGGTCACCGGAGAAAGTTGTGCTTTACACAATTTTGCAAAATAGTCATCAGAAAAAGTTATGATTTGCACAATTTTGCAAAATGGTCCCCAGAGAAAGTTGTGATTTGCACAATTTTTCAAAATGGTCACCGGAGAAAGTTGTGATTTGCACAATTTAGCAAAATGGTTATCAGAGAAAGTCGTGGTTTACACAATTTTGCAAAATTGTCCCCAGAGAAAGTTGTGATTTGCAAAATTTTGCAAAATGGTCATCGGAGAAAGTTGTGATTTGCACAGTTTTGCATAAATTTAAGTTTAATTTTTATTTAAAACTATGAGTCACATAGAATAACCTATTTATCAAATCTTCTCGTTTGCTCTGGTTGAGGCGTTCTGGAAATATCTCGCTTACGGACGGACAGACAGACAGAAAGACAGGATTACATATTAAAAAATGATAATAAATGCTACTGGAGATCGATAAGATTTTTTAAATATTTACAAGATTAATTTTTTTACAATTCGATTACAGAATGGAGACTATTTACTAAATAAACTTTTTAATACTTAAATTTTATGATACATACATATGCACATATATCGTACGACGTAATTTGTCTCTTTTTTAAAGACCTGTTTAATAATACGTCATATGATGTAATTTACGTGAGTGAAAGTGAATTAAGAAATTCTTTATTTTAACATTATTTAAATAATTTTATAATATCTGATATAATATTTAAACCGAAATATAATTACCATTTGCCTCCACGGCAAAAGAGATGATCCCGATGATAAAAGGGGTTATCATGGTTGATGGTGTAAGAAGTATTTTAATTCGTTTAACAAATAAGTAAGTACACTCACAAAGGATCGTTTTGCAATTAACTTAAAGAAACAAAATGTCCAGGCAGGCATTTTTAGGTCACCCAGTTACACGTGTGTAAACAAAGACGAGAACAATGGACTGGATTGGACTTCTTCCGGGTTGATAATTAATTAACGATATGACGCAATTCGAATGTCTTTACTCGTGATAAGGTCGATCCCGGATGGAGGTTAACATGTAAGGGATGGGGCTGTGCAGAAAGCATGGGGGGATAGGGGTCAGGTCAAGGCATCCTATCCGTCCCATGTTAATTATCACATGGGACATATAATCATGTAGGTCACACGGGGGGTGGGGGGGGATAGGGGTCAAAATTTCCCGGAAATGGATCACATTCTTTATGTTATGTCCAGCCCCGAAGACAATGCTGACCTAGATAAATATTTAAAAACAATTGACTCATAATAAGTTTATAAATTTACAAATAATTCACTCCAACCTGTGTAAAAATATATTTCTGAGCAGTAAATTTTATAAAGGTTTTGTAAGTTTATAAATTTACGAATATTGAAGTGAACTGCCTCAGTATTCATGGGAGCTTTACAATTTTGTAAAATTTGAGGAGTTATTTTACTCTAGTTTTAAAGACATTGCTGTCTTCTGATATTTTGTGGGGTGAGAAATTTGACAAAAATTACATGCACAGTTACAAAACTTCGCGTGAATGGTTTTAATGGTTTGTTTGTATATCCACGCCGAGACGGATTTTTGTAAGTTTACGGAGTTACATATGCACAAATATCTAAGCGAATTGTCTCAGTATTTAGGTAAGCTTCGTAATTTTATAAATTCTGTGAAGTTATTGTACTCAATTATTCAAAAGTTTTAAAGACATTCCTGTCATGAGTGAAAGACTGAGATTTTTGTGGGTTGAGCAATTTTACAAAAAATTGCAAAGTTACAAAGTTTTGCGTGAATTGTCTTATCAATTGTTTTTTGTTTATGTATGATTTTTTTTACCATGCAATTTTAGAAATCGAAGCGCTTCTATCCATCCGAGTAAAAGAAGCAAATTCAGCCTTCCGCTGAATTTATGCATCTCTGAGAAATCGGTAGGTTGAACAATTTTACAAAAAAAATATAAAGTTACAAAGCTTGGCATGAATTGTCTCATCAATTGTTTTTTATTTATGTATAACTTGTTTCTTACAATTTAATCAGGAAATTCGTGAAATCGAGACGCACCAATCCGCGCTGCTCGGTCGCTTAAAAAATTTCCCCTGACGCCACCAAACGCCATCAACTCGTCTTCCTCCCCGTCATCCAGCACATTTTACATCTCGACGAAAATTTTTGTGGGTTGAGCAATTTTACAAAAAAATACAAAGTTACAAAGCTTCGCGTGCATTATCTTATCAATTATTTTTGTTCATAAATGAATTAGTTTCTTGCAATTTTACAGAAAATTTTAGAAATCGAGGCGCTCCAATCCGCCCTGGGCTCAGTCGCTAAAAAATACAAAGTTACAAAGGTTCGCGTGAATTGTGTTACAAATTGTTTTTTGGTTATATAAAAATTTGTTTACCATGCAATTTTAGAAATCGAAGCGCTCAATCGCTGCGCTCTGTCGCGGAAAGATTTTTCCTGACGCCACCAAACGCCATCAACTCTTGATCCAGCACATTTTGCAAAATTTTTATCCTACCAACAATGGAACCTTTTTTCAAGCTACACGGGGATTGTCTAACGAGTTATAGTAAAAAATCTGGCAAAAATTAGGAGCCACATAGCGCTTATCTTTCCGTTGAATGGCCCGTTTGAAGACAAATATTGGCCGCAAAGTTCAATTTTTTCGTAAATTTCCTCTCCACGTGGTGAAAACCAAGGCGCTCTTGGGTGCTTTGAACCCATATATTTTTCTTCAAAGGGGCCATTCAAAGCAATGATAAGCGCCACGTGATTCCTAATTTTTGGTTTGATTTTTTGATATAACTCGTTACCCAATCCCGGTGTAGCTTGAAAAAAGGTTCCATTGTAAATGTCATTTTAACCGTGGCTATCCTTGCCTACAGAGAAAATGCTCAGGTAATCGTCGTCTTCATCGTCAACTTATCGTCAGTCCGTCCCTTAAGATGACGACCCACCATTCCGGACCCAGATGAATTTATTCATTCATTTACGGTGCATCGGAGCGGTCAAATAGTCCGTGGAGTCATTCGTTAAGGTGGCATATTATGCGGGGTTTGAATTTGAATATGTGTGTCTCAACTTTCCCTTCTTCCTTGTATC